TTTACCCAGAAAATGGCCAAACCAATTTACATTTATGAGGCCAAATCAAACAACAAAGCATGTTTTCTCAGAAGCCTTGAGCTTTTTTCAAATCTGAAATGACAGTGATTTAAAGTGGTCTATGTTATTGATTCTTTTCAGCAAAACAGAGCAGTTCTCTGATTTATGATGGAAAGGGGGTGTGGGGGGAGAGAAAACAGAGTAAAAGGAAAGAAGAAACATTAAATAATACAAAAAGCTTCCAAGTAGTAGTTATGCCTTCACTGTCTTCTGTGAGACTCTGAGACGGTGTTAAGCATGTTCTAATATCTGCTGAAGCTGGCAGGAATTGTACACCTGTGTACTTGCAGGAGGAGGGCTGCCTTCTGTGATGTGAAACTTCCTGTCACCCAGGAAGGATGCCTGGAGAGAAGGCAGCCTGCAGCATGAAACTTGACCAGAGCCACACTGGGTGACAGGAGGAAGGGGCAACATCTGCTCCCTGCTAGCCCTGCACAAGGTGCGCTTCTCACAGTCCAGCTGGGGTTTGGGTAGGACTCAGATGATAATACAAATTTTATGCACTTAAGTAGTGTGTTAGGCAGGTCACTGTGAATTGGCCTAAACGCATCTGCTCCCTGCTAGCCCTGCACAAGGTGCGCTTCTCACAGTCCAGCTGGGGTTTGGGTAGGACTCAGATAATAATACAAATTTTATGCACTTAAGTAGTGTGTTAGGCAGGTCACTGTGAATTGGCCTAAACTAAAAAGGTATTTGGGAAGCGCAACAAGCCATGGAACTCTGTGCCTGCTATGTCAACATCACACACATGCACACATGCACACACACACACACACACACAAACACACACACATATTTAACTCTCTAACAAAGCTTTCCTCTGCCCCAACATATCATCCTCTTCAAGTTCATGGGAAGAGACAAACAACCTGGCCAAGATTCCCACTCCACGCCTACGTGTTTCCCACGGTTCTTTCCACTTCCACAATGTTTGCTGCTGTTTTCTGTAAGCCCATAGCTATGCCCACCATTTGTGAAAGCGGAAAAGTACAATCCAACCAGAAAATCACTCATTCATGGGGCTCAGAGAATGGTGCAGAAGAGTTCTTTACCTTCTTACCTCTCAAACATACCAGGCCCACCTTGGAGAGGCAGCCAGGGGCTCCTCAGTGGCTCAGCCCCAGATTCCCCTCACCCCTGACCTAGAGGCCTTTAGAGTACAATGCCCTCAAGACACACTAATATTGGCTACCTCTCATAAGGAGCATCACTCCTCTGTGTTTTTATGCTAGGAGGCTGTCCCTTTTCTTTATGACATCGAAGACCACTTCTCAGGACATGATAAAGTGGGAGAAATACCCCTTCTTTTGCCCCCTTTCCAATTTAATGCCCAAAATGATGTTAAAATACTGTATTAACCTGCCAGAGTTTCCATAACAAAATACCAAAAACTGGGTGCCTTAAACAACAGACATTTATTCTGTCACAGTTCTGGAGGCTGGAAGTCCAAGATCAAGGTATCAGTAGATTTGGTTTCTCTTGAGGCCTCTCTTATTGGCTTACAGACGTCTGTGTCCTCACACGCATGTTCTCTGCATCCCTGGTGTCTCTTCCTCTTCTCATATAGACACTAATCCTATTGGATTAGGACCCCAACCCTGTGATTCCACTTAACTTTTCTTGTCTCCTCAAAGAACCTATCTCCACATACAGTCACACTGGGAATTAGGGCTTTAACATACAAATATTGGGGGTGGGGGACACAATTCAGTTTATAATAAATACAGAATTCCTGGCCTCAAGAAATTTTAAGTCTAAATGGAAAGCTAAAATAAACATTCAATTCATCAGGAGAGGGTATTGATGGCAAAAATAATAACAATATCAAAACATGATCTTAAATGTTTGCTAAGTTATTTTAGGAATAATAGTCAGATACCTAAAACAAAAATGTTCAAAACTAAACACTTACTATTATTTCTCCTCTTTCAGTAAATAGCATCATTTTTGACTCTTCATTCTCCCTGTGTATCTGTCAGATTAAGGTAGAATATGCTGCAGTAACAAACAACCCCAATTTCTCAAGAGCTTATTTAAAACTTCAAAGGTTATTTCTTGCTCAGGCTTCATATCCAGAGCTGGTTAACAGGAGACTACTCATCACAGTCACCTGGAGGTTGGAGAAACCAGAGTTCTTCTCTTTCACCAGGTAAAGACACAGCAAGGTGGCACCAACTATGAACCAGAAAGCAGGCACTCACCAGACTCTGAATTGGCCAGTGCCTTGGTCTTGGACTTTCTAGCCTCCAGAACTGTGATAAATAAATATCTGTTGTTTATAAGCTACCCAGCCCATGGTGTTCAGTTAATAGCAGCCCAAATAGACTAATACAGTTGTCTAGGATTTGATAGCCAAAAAGATAGAGATGATGAAGTGTGAATTTGTAAAAATCCCTAATTTGTAAAATGAGGGAATGAAGATTCCAAGAGATAAGAGAGGTAATCAACGTTATACAGAAAATTAATGGCAAAGCACAGGATAGAATCCAGCATTTCAGACCTCCAGTGCCCACTGAAAAATAAGTGCTCACCAAAATTAGGGGTCAGAGAGTGATTTTTAAATACAAGGATCTTCCTCCATGTATCAAAGCCAGTTCATCCTGGAGGCCAGTGTTTTCTTTTATCTTTTGTTATTTCTATGACTGTTAATTCTCTGCTCCTGAAATTGATATTGGTCAGTGAAAAGTACCTAATGTTGAACCTGTTTAATCTTGGTGTAATGAAATTTAGGGATAGGAGGTGTTAGGTTGAATGGTGTGTGTGTGTGTGTGTGTGTGTGTGTGTGTGTGCGTGTGCGTGCATATGTGTGCGTGTGTGTGTGTGTGTGTGTGTGTGTGAGAGAGAAAGAGAGAGAAAGAGAGAAAGAAACTGAAACAACCATTAGAAAACTAATCACAATTAATCCATGAGGGAGTGGGCTGCTTTAATGAAGCCATTAGCCAAAGACCATTCTGAGAGAGAAAATGGAAAGACGGAACTCTGAGCACATTACCTGTAATGAACCTGAAAATGGACTTGGGGAATTTCTGCGGTATTCTTAGCATCTGTAATAGCTGTTGAGTGAGAATGCCCACAACTCAGCCCAAGCTCCAGGAATCCTATGAACCCAGGAGAAGACACGGCAGAGGGCTATTTAACTGATGGACGTTGGACACAAGCATCAGAGAGAGGCTGGGACTTATGTAACTGATGACTCTTAACTATGCTCTTGTTTAATGCAAAAGATCATTTTGGTGTCAATTGCTTCCCTGGAGGAAAAAAAAAGGAAAGAAAAAACAGAGAAAGTCTATTTCCTTGCATCTCCTGCTTCAAACTGGACCAGTGTTTCCAGAGAGAGACTTTGGGAGAAATTGGCCCAGAGGTAAATGATATCAATAAACATCTCAAAGCCAAACGCCCTTTTTCATCTGGATCTGATCATAAGGAGGATTGCAAACATGCAAGTAGGTAGTATCCTACAATCTCAAAAAAGAAGATATTTAGGTATTTCCTTCATCAATTTTAAATCACAACACGTATGAGATACGTGATGCTGGTGATTTTGCATGAAGTCAATATGAATGGGATAAACCAAAATCTCCAGAGCTGTGTTGGAATGAGCTGCTGTGGGGCAACAAGAAGACAGTTTGTTTGCTTAAAAGTCTTCATTAAAAATATGAAGCCCCAGGGGTCTTGTATCTATTGCCAACATGTAGTGATCACAGGCATTTGGAAATAAAAATTACCTGACTCATTGGTCTTCTGGTGTACATCCGTTGTTGCTGGCCTGACAGTAATCTATCCATTCTATCTTCTTCTGATAACATGATCCCGACTTTTTTAGACTACCTTTTCCCTGTTGGATCAGTCCTAGAAGGCTTGTTAATCAAAATGCCCTATTGTCCTCTGGATTAGGAATGAGCATTTGACTGCAGTGATTCCAGACCCTCCCTCTAGAGAATTTACATCTTAAGCAGAATGACTCAAGGATAGAAATGGTTGAAAACATTCATTCCACCTCACTTTGCAGAGACAGCCCAGTGTTTCCTGCTTTCAGCATCCTCAAAGGTGATCTGGCCTTTGCAAAGGCTTCTTCAGTTTTTCCTTTTATTCTTTGAGCAACCCAGAGTCTATCCAATAAGAGTCTGTGTTTGTTTCCTGACGGTGCTATAACAGATTAATGCAAATCTATTATCCTACAGTTCTGGAGGGCAGAAGTCTGAAATGAGTCATATGGGGTTAACACAACGTGCTGGCCAGCTGTGTTCCTGCTGAAAGCTTGAGGGAAACTCTGTCCCTTGTGTCTTCCAGCTTCTAGAGGCTGTCCACCTCTCTTGGCTTGTGGCTACATCACTCTTGCCTCTTCCTCTATCGACACATCTTCCTCTCTTCCTCTGATTCTCATGGCTCCCTCTTATAGGGACTTCAGGATTACACTGGGCCAGCCCATATAATCCAGGATAATCTTCCCATCTCAAGATCCTTAACTTAATCACAATTGCAAGTCTCTTTTATCATAAAAGGTAACAAATTCACAGGTTCTGGAGATTAGAACATGGATCTATTCTGCAGAGGGGGAGTGGGAGGACATTATTCAACCCACCACAGCATCATCTTGCTCAAGGCACACAGAATTACTTTCTGTTGCTTACAACCAAAACCTGACTGACATACAACTTCTAATTGGTTTCTGAAACAGAGAAAATGAATATGTTTTTTTATTGTTGCTGGAAACTAGGAAGATGATCATAAATCAACTAAAAGTAAATTGTGGAACATCCTTGAAAAATAGTCCCAAAGAATGGCCCTTCTGCTTAAATTCCTAAGGTAGATACTACACTGTATCTTCTCTAAACAAGTAGGGCCTGGCGCTGGCCTTGAGAGGTTCCCCCTAGAATCATCTAGTGCCCAACAGAATTGAATATCTCTCTTTATCCAGGTGTGTGTGGTTCTTTCGGCAGGACACGGAAATTCTGAACACTGCCATACTCACGGGAAAGACGGTTGCCATGCCAATCAGAGTGGTGTCTGTGGAGGAGAACAGTGCTGTGATGGATATCTCTGAGTCGGTGGAGTGCAAGTCCGCAGATGAGGATGTTATCAAAGTAAGTGGTCCACTGACCAGCTGGACAGAGCGGGTGGGACCTTCACTTGGGCATCCCCTTCCTGAAATAAGAAGCTCAGCTGGTAGGTTTACATACAGCACACTGCCAGTCGATGTACTCAACTTGTCCATTTCTGTCCCTTTATGCTGGCATCATGCTAACCTAGCTGAGATTGATTGATTGATCTCTTTCTTTCTCCCTTTCTTTCTGTCTTTCTTTCTCTCTTTCTATCTTTTCCTTTTAATTGACAAATAAAAATGTATATATTTATCATATACAACATGTTATATTGAAATATGTATACACAATGGAATACTACTCTGCTATAAAAAAGAATGAAATCCTACCATTCTCAACAACATGGATGGAATTAGAGAAACCTATATTAAGTGGAACGAGTCAGGCACAGAAAGAGAAATACCACATGTTCTCACTTATTTGTGGGAGCTAAAAATAAATAAATAAGTAATAAATATACAAACAAAGGGTTGGGGGGAAGAAGACACAACAATCACAACAATTCCTTGAGCTTGTCAAGACAAGTGAACAGATATGATATGATGTAGTTGTGGGGGAGGGGAGAGAGGAAGGGGGAAAGAAGAATGGGTAAAGGGACACGAAATCAACTGTAATGTATACTGAGAAGTTAAAATAATTTATTTTTTAAATTTTAAAAAAAGAAATTTATATTGGTCAAAGATTAATGGCTTTCACACACACACACACACACACACACATACACACACAAAGAAATATGTATGCATTTGGAATGGCTAATTTAAGCTAATTAACATATGCATTACCTCACATACTTATTGTATTTGTCCATTTTCTGTTGCTTATTACCTGAATACCTGAAACCAGGTAATATATAAAGAAATAGAATTTCTTACAGTTTTGGAGGCTGGGAAGTCCACAATCCAAGGGGTACATCTGATGAGGGCCTTTTTTTGTTGGGAACTCTCTACAGGGTCCTGTGAAGCCCAGGGTATCACATGGTGAGAATGACCTGAGCAAGAGAGTGCTAATCTGCTCACTCGCTCTCCTTTTAGAGCCATCAGAGCCACGCCCATGAAAATCCTTTAAACTATAAACCCATTCATTACAACATCAGTCCATTCACCAGGGCACAGTCATCACCATCCAATCCCCTCTTAAAGGCCCCACCTTCCACCACCATATTGTGGGTTAAGTTCCAACATGAGCTTGGAGGAACATTCACACCACAGCACTTATCTTCTTTTCTGTGGTGAGAACACTTAAAATCTACTCTCTTAGCAATTTTCAAGAACATAATACATTGTTCTTAACTACACTATATTGTACCCTAGATCTCTTGAAATGCATTCTTTGGCCAACATCTCTCCAACTCCCCATGCCCTAACCTTCTGGTAATGACCATTCTACTCTCTACTTCTATGAGTTCAACTTTTTTAGAGTACCCATATGAGTAAGATCATGTGGTATTTATCTTTTTGTTTGGTTTATTTAGTTTAACATAATGTCCTCCAGGTTCATCCATGTTGTCACAAATGACAGAACTTCCTTCTTTTTAATGACCATTTAATGATCCATTGTGCATCTATACCTTTATCTATTCATCTGTTAACAGACCATCAATTATGCTTTGGACCATGGGTCAAACCCTAAATGCCCACAGTAGCCAAACAGGTGACTTAAATGGGTGAAGTGGTAAATTGGATATGCCTTGTTCTAGAAGGGCAACCAATCTTCTGTTCCTTGCCTTTTTCCAGCAAAAAAAAAAAAAAAAAATTGTTGCAACTAACTGTGGCCATGCATAAATGTAAGTTCTGTATTACTAAATTTTCAAAAGAAGCTGGAAACCTGGATTTTATGAAAAAAAAAACAACTTATTTTTCAAGGTGAACAACCAATTGTAATTTTTTTAAATGGGCAAAAAACGAAAAATAAAGTACACTTGCAGTGTGGGTTGGCCCATTGGGCAACTGTTAGAAACCACGTTTCTAGAGTAAGAGTGGGTTTGTAAATAAAGTCTTATAGGAACACGGACACTCAAATTTGTTTTTATCTATAGCTGCTTTTGTGCTACAACGGACAGTTGAGTAGCTGTAACAGAAACCACATAGCCCAGAAGTCTAAAATATTTACCATTTATGGGCCGGCCCGGTGGTGCACTGGAGAGTGCACCACTTGGGAGCATGGCGGCGCTCCCGCCGAGGGTTCGGATCCCACGTGGAGACCGGTTCCTGCTCACTGGCTGAGCGCGGTGCGGGCGCAACACCAAGGGTTGCGATTCCGTTGCCGGTCCCCGGTACGGGCGAGACACCGAGGGTTGCGATCCGGTTAAAAAAGACCAAAAAAGGAAAATAATAATAATAAAAAAAATAAATAAAATATTTACCATTTTGCCTTTCCCAGAAAAGGTTTGCCTCAAGCAACCCCTCCCTAGAGTCTAAGTT